AAACTCATTCTATCTGGAGCCGCCCCGGCTTCAGCAGCATGGGGGCTGCCTCTCCGCCGCTGGCAAAAAGAGCTTCACCCGGGCTCTCCAGGGATTTTGCGGTATCCCCGGAGTCCTCAGGGTACGCTCTTCACGATGGCTACCCCTACGGGACAGCGTAGGTCCGTTGGACCGGCCGGTAGCGGAGATATCGGCTGCAATCGAGGAGCTCGATTGCAGACCGTATCGCCACGGCGCAGGCTCCTCCCATCTCCCCTTCCCTCTTCATTCTCCTTTCCTTCTTCTGCCTTCCCCTCTTCCCTTCTTTTTCTTTTCTCTTTCCCTTTCTTCTTTCCTGTCCCTTCTTGGATGCTCAAATGCAAAAAGGGAAACATTTTTCAATGCCTCCTTGCCTTATGATCAAATGCCACTTTTGCTAGTAATTTGTGGCTACTTAAAAGACTGAGAACAAACCAGGCTCAGTTTATCCCATGCTTGCATTTAGTGGGGGCGTCCACAAACAATACAGCAAACCTGTCAAAATGGTGGCTGTGATAGCTGATCAGAGCTCCTCTGTTTTTTATGTGCAACAGCTTTAACATTTAGGAACAGAGGTAAGTTAGTTGCTTAATCCTTAAAAGGGCTCTCCTGTAGGAACCCTACATGGTCTAATACAGACTGGAAATATAGCAAAGTCAACCAATGCTCCACGGGCTGGTTCTTCACTGTTTCCAGGGCAGCTATGTGTGGCAGATCTAACCACATTGTGGGTCGGATCCTTCCTGTGGGCCTTGAGTTTGACACCCTTGGTCTAGGACATGGGTGTCCAACCTTTTGGCTTGCCTGAGGCCATACTGAGTGAAGAGGAATTGTCTTGGACCTCATAAAATATATAATATAGTTTTATAACATAAAATCACATGTTAAAAGTTTACGGTCCTATGGGGCTGCATTACAGGTAGTCTCTGAGAAACAACAGGCCACATAATGATGATCCCAAAACTATATACAACCCTGTTTGAAAACTATGACAGTTGAAGTGCGCCTGCGGTCATTCACCCTTATGACCGACCACAGGGATGTTGCCGCATCCCTGTCATGGTACCATCAGATCCCGGTTCAGAGGAGTTGGAACTGGGACCATCTGACAGGGATAGCACATCTCCCTTGGAACATCTGGAGAGTCCAGGGGTTGAGGACAATACTGTCCCAGGCCCCTCCAGCATTGGGGGAGGTGGTTGACTGGACAGGAAGCTGCCTGCCTTCACAAATGCAGGGGAGGATTGGCTGCAGACAGGCAGTGGTGCTAAGAGACAACAGATCCCTTCTCATGAGGAACAGCTACCTTCCCCACCTGGAAAGTGGAGCAGAGGGAAGCTCAGAGGAGGTCTGTGAGGCGGCTTGCGAGGCTGCCCTGCCCCTCCTCACAAGGAACATCTGGCTTGGGCTGATTTAACCAGAGAGGGGGGGGGAGAGGGAGGGAAGGATGTCTTCATCGGGAACAACTGTTTGTCTCAGCACTCACTTCCCTGACTTTTGGAAACATTGCCTTCAACTCTTGTTTCAACTTCTGGATTTGCTTACCTTGCTTTGTGGACTCTGACTTCGGATTATGGCTTACAGACATTGTTTTGCAACCTCTGCACTGGGTTTGTGGTGTTCGCCTTTCTTCCTGTTTGGGGGCTTGTTTCTGGTAAAACTGTGTTACACTGACTGTGGGGGTGGCTGGTTTTGGGGGGAAAGTGGAGTGGAAGTTTACCAACACACCTGGATGGCCATCTGTCATGGTTTAGCAGTGCAATGAAATATTTTATTGATGCCTGCATCTGCCTACACGACCTGTGTCAGAACAGCCCTGCCTCTCTCTTCAACCCCTTATCCTACCCCAATAGGACCCTGAAGTGCTCAGGTCTACTCCCCATTCCTCCTGGAAGCAGCTGCCATTTTCAGGGCCCCAACAATTATTTGTGGAGATGGTGGCTACTTTCAGGGCTTTCTGCACTGATCAGGTGGCTATTGGGAGGCTGTAAAGCTCTTCTGTCTCTGTATAAAAGGCGGCAGCTTCAGGATGAGCTTCCCAAAGCCTTTCCTTTGCTTAACCCCCTCCCTCCCCCAGAGAGCCACATTTCTTCAATAAACAAAACAAAACAAAAAAGCTGGGAGGGACAGACTTGTTAACGTCCCCTCTTTTACTACTAAAACAGGACTTACTGCCAGAAATTATTCCTTCAGAGGCAGAAAGTGGTGCTGGGTCTCCAGGCTGTGTATAACCCTTGAAGCCCTGCCTAAATTCAGAGTCTGTATACTGTTATTATGAGAGAACCAAGTACTCAGTGTATTCTCAGAAGCAGCCTTAATGACATTTAAAAATGGAATCCTGGTTCACTTTAATGTCTTTGCAGGACATTGTAATTCCTGCCAATTAAAATCAATGAAGGCACTTACTGGCTGCTGCTAAAAAGGTATTACCCAGCTTGTGACGGTCTTTGCGCGCTGAGTCAGAGACACTGCTGGGAAGCACAGTGGGTCGGTGCTTCAATGTGAGCTTTTTGGGAGGTTTGATTTTCTCACAGGGCTTGTTCTGCAACTGGGATTTCAACATGCTCTGAAGGTGTAAACTCACTGGTACATCTGCAGAAAAATGAACACACACATACACTAACAAAAAAACCCCAATAGGAGGCAATTATCAGATTATTCAGAATAGAGATAGCATATTCTGAATGCAGAATGTTCATCACCAAATCTATCTAACCATAAATTTGGAGATTTATGCCTATCATGAACTAAAAATATATGCATTCAGAAGCAAAAAATGAGCCATATTTATGGAGTCCTCTACTTTCTCCCAGTAATGAAAAACACCAATATTGGCTGAACTGCAGCTATCCTAACTCTGTACTCTCCAGATTTCTTAAGTCAACTGGAATTCTGAGCTAACACAGCCTTCAGCAACAACACAGCTGGGTGGAATGGTGATTTTTTTTTTTTTTTGGACAAGGACCAAAACAAAAGCCATCGGATGATTATTGCATTGATTATGATGCTAATATATATTTTATAAGATTTTGTTGTCGCATTATTAATATATTTTTTGTTCTTTTTCTTTGCAAACTGCTTTAAGGTTGTAGGGATTCAAAGGGTAGAAAGTAAATAGAAAAAGGAAAAATAGTCCCTCTCTTTGAGCATGCTTCACCTCCAGTGAGGACACAAGAGTTTTGTGTGTAAAGACCCAACAACAGTAACAGCAGCTACTGCCACCCTACAACTGAAATAAAAATAGCTTTCCCTAGAGAAAATTCAAAAGACCTAGATTTATATCCTAGGTTGCATTTTACTTGAGTGAATTAAAATGTCTTGTTAAAATCCAAAATAAGTTTCTTAAAATAATGTCAATATCAAGTACCCCTTAAATTATAACTAGGATATTACTAAATAATATGAATGACAGCATGTTAGTCCTACAGTAAAATTTTGAATGTGAATTGGGTGTCTCTATAGAAACATTGAATTAAAGGAAGTTTTCCATATAAATGAAAAGTCAATCTGATAACTTCTCAAAGACAACTTTGATTCATCATCTATCCAAAACAAGTGCTTTATTTTCACCCAATGAACACACACAGCCCTAGACTATCCAGTAGCAACTAGAATGTACTTCCAATTACTTTGTCATTGGCAGTTCATTTTTTTGTTTGGTAGTTTTCTGTATGTGTGTGAAATGGAGGAACTGTGATGAGAAAAAGAAACAGGTGGTATTCGGCAGGTTCTGACCAGTTCTGGAGAACTGGTAGCAGAAAGTTTGAGTAGTTTGGAGAACTGGAAAATACCACCTCTGACTGGAGATTTTACAGTATCCTTCCTCTGCCACACCCACTGAGCCACGCCTACAGAACTGGTAGTAAAAAATTTTTTGAATCCCATCACTGGAAAGAAACCACAAACATCACATATGACCAGGAGAAATGGGGCTGGGGGTGATGCAGGCAGCCTGTGAGACAAGGTACTAGACAATATGTGATAAGTCTGTAGACACCCTTTAATAGGTAAAGAAATGCATGAAAATGGTATGAGATATACACAAACATACCCCCACACACCTGGTTAAAAGCAATGTGTGTACCTTTCTTTACAACACATACACAACAGAACAATAAAAAGCCACATCCTATCCACACATAACCCTCACTCCAAAGTTTTCTGTGCATTCTCTGGAGAGTTTCAAAATATTAAGCAAACAATAGTTTTTAATGTGAAGGAAAAAATTCCATAGTATATGCCTAGAAAGTAATTGTGTTTAATGCTTAATGCAAATGCAAATGAAACAAAATCCAATTTAGTTTTTGCCCTACCACTGCTTACCACATTTGGAATGCAGCTCGCAGCATGATACTATGTTTTCCCCAAAATAAGACTGGCTCTTACATTAATTTTTGCTCCAAAAGACACATTAGGGCTTATTTGGGGGGTTAATACAGTACTAAATGCGTCTGTATGGCTCACAATCTTAACTGGGGGTACGGGGGTACGGCTTATAGTACGAGCATCCTGAAAAATCATGCTAGGGCTTATTTTCCAGTTCTTAATTTCGGGGAAACACGGTACTTGTTAGGAATGATAGTCACCTAACTGTTGGGTGAGAGTGATGTAGAATAACACACAACCAGCAATATATAAACCAAGATAGTCATTTAATACTGCTGTATCTTTAAGAGAATGCTGTAATTGTGATTGGCTGAGGTTCCTCCGACGGCCATAAGATGGAGCCAGAAACCTGGTTTGTTCTCTTCTTGCATTTCCCTATTGCCTTTTGCCTGATCGTCATTCTGCTGGAATTGCTGTGAGACTTGCAAACTGTTAGCAAACTCCGTTTACTGAACTTTCTTTATGATACTGGACTTGGTTTTTGGATTATCCCTGGACTGATACTAACTGCTTTAACCGTGTATTATTTGGACTGTTTGTTGGACTTTGTTTACCCATTTACAGGAAGTAAAACCTACATTTTACTATCTGTATTCTGGTTGTGTATTATTCAACATCACTCTCACTACGTTTCCCTGAGTGCACTCATTCTCCTAACGGGGAATACCTCAATACTGGTTATGGGCCCAGGCTCAGATAACTGTGAGTTAGTGTGAATACACAGTACCGTATACAGACAGCTGTTTACTGTTTAATTATGGGTTACTGTCCTGGTAAAGATGGCACAAGACCCGTCAACAAGTCTATCACTGATAACCCGGTTGGATGGAACAAACTATGTTTCCTGGTCTATGAAGTGCAGTCTACTTCTGCGTAGAGAAGGGTTATGGGCTGCAGTTCAGGATCCACCAGATGTAAATGCTTGGGATCCAAATAATGAGGATGATGCCAAAAAGTTAGCTGACTTTAAACTGAACAACGAACGAGCTCTTTGTATAATTGGACTAACACTGAGTGACCAGCAGCTCGTCCATGTTCGTGGAGAAGAGTCTGCTGCTAGGTGTTGGGAGAATTTGAAGAGGATTTATGTTCGTGACAGTGTAGGTGCACACATTCATCTTACACGTAAACTGTTTAGAGCACGTCTTCTGAAAGGTGGAGATATGTTAGCTCATTTAAAGTTCATGAAAAGAACTTTTCAAGAGCTACATGAAAAGGAACTGATATTTTCAGAGCTACATCAGGTTTACATCATTCTTTCCTCATTGGATGAAAGTTATGATGATTACGTATCTTCACTGGAAGTACTGCCCAGAGATGAACTGACATTGACTGACATAACCGGACGATTGTTAGAAGAGGCTAGAAGAAGGCAGGAAGGAGGCCAACTGAGAGAGAAACAACCACAAGAAGAGGATTTGTTTTCAACTGCCTATACTGTTAGGAAATGTTTTTCTTGTGGGGCTAGGGGACATATAGCTAGATTCTGTAAGAAGGGAAAATGACAGAATACTGGTAATCACCAGAAGGCTAAGAAGAATGATAATTTAATTATGTCAAGAAATTCAACTGTAAACTATGATTTATGGGTAGTTGATAGTGGAGCATCACAGTGCATTACTAGAAATAGAGAGAGGTTTGTAAAGATGTCTACAAGTAAGCAACATATATCATTGGCAAACGGATGGAAGATGAAAGCATCAGGTGAAGGTGCTGCATATTGTTCATGTGTAAATGAGCATTTAACTATGTTGCATGTACCTAAACTGAAATTTAATTTTCTACCAGTAAGAGCTTTAGTTAATATTGGTTATCTAGTAACCTTTAGGGGAGATAACTGTATAATAGAGAAAGTTACTGCTACTTTAGAGAATTAGGTTACTACTTTAGAGAAGGTTACTGCTACTTTAGAGAATGATTTATATGTGATACATGATGACCAGTTGCAGATGGCTAACTCGGTTTATAACAATCTTAAGCCACATGACGAATGTATACATTTACTCCATAGACATCTGGGGCACATTAATTTCAAGATGCTGAAACAAACTGTCAAATTGTCAGAGGGAGTAAAATTAAAACCCTGTAGCAAGCACTTAAACTGTAATGCCTGTAATCAGGAAAAAAGCAAGGTTACTCCAGCAAACAGACTGAATGGGTTTAAGACCAAAGAACCTTTAGAGGTTGTGTTTGCTGACATAATTGGTCCTAAGAAACCCAGTTTGGGAGGTGCCTGCTATATTTTGAGTATTTTGAGTATGGTTTCTTGTTGTGATTGGAAGGTCCAATCCTGTCAGGAACTTTGAATCTGATGACTGTTAGATCATGGATTGACGTCAGAACCAGGGAACGTTACTCCCTTTAGTTTGATTTGATTGTGAAATGACTGTTGAATTTCAAAAGGGAATCTTAACAGTTTTGTTTGCAGTTTTGAATGAGAACGTTACTCCCTGTAGTTTGATTTGATCGTGAAATGACTGTTTGAATTTCAAAAGGGAATCCTAACAGTTTTGCCTGCAGTTTTGAATGAGAATGTTACAAGGGAGGACATTTGATTTGCAGGACCGGCCTGAACCTTCAACCTCCTCGGCTTCTCAATCAGGTTATCAGCCGGGAAGTCTTCAGGTGAAAGTAATAATTTAGATAATCGCTGGGTGGATATCAGAAGCAGGCGTCTCCTGACGAGAGAAACCAACGGGAGCACAGGAGGAGGGCAGATCAGTAATTAGACTAATTAGCTGCTGCTCTATAAAAGGAAGAGGGATGACTCTGCACTCTTGTCGGGAACAAATTGTTTGCAAAGAGAACCGAAGACTTTGACTTGGAGGATTTGGGTCTGAAGTATTTTTGTTTGAATTGGATTTATTGGGACTGTTAACTTGGACTATCTTGTGGAGGCTGGCTGCGGCTGTTATCAGTGAAGATTCCTGGTTGCTGCCTTTATTTGCGAGGACTGCTGCTTTCAGCCTTATCTGTTTATTTTTGGAAGGTGGGACATAACAGTTTCTGCTATTTAATGAAAAACAAAACAGAAACGTTCCAACATTTCTTTAATTGGCTAAGGTTTGCAGAAAGAAAAATGAAACATAAGGTAATTACTTTAGTTACTGATAACGGGACTGAGTTTATTAATAATAGATTCCAAATGATGTTAAAATTGGCTGGTATTGAGCATAAGCATTCTGCACCCTACAGGCCACAACATAACTCGTTTATAGAACGAAGAGGGCAAATGTTACAAGCCATGGCTCGCACTATGTTATCCGATTCAGGTTTGCCTGAAACACTGTGGGGTGAAGCCATAATGTGTAGCAACCATGTGTTAAACAATGTGTAACAATGTGTACAATGTAGTTAATACAACTGGTGAATTGCCATTCACTCGTTGGCATGGCAGAAAACCAAATTTAAGTTATCTACACACATTTGGAGCTCCAGCATGGGTGCATATTCCCACACAAGTAAGACTTAAAGGGCAACACAGAGCTGGGAAATTATTTTTCGTAGGTTACGAGGCCAACCATAGTTCGTTTAGATTTTGGGATCCAGGCACAACTAATATTTACTGTAGCGCTAGTGCTAAATTTCTTGAGCACGTTGGGTGGCATAAACTAGAACAGGAATCCAACAATGATGTAGTTATTGACACCCAAATAGTCCCTAATGATGAGATCGTTAAACCATCAATAGCCATTAAAGAGGAAGAACAGGCACAGGAGGAGGTAGAAGAACAGGAGCAGGTGGAACATGAGAGTCAGCCAGTAAGCCCTGAAGATGGAGCCAGAAACCTGGTTTCTTTCTTCTTGCATTTCCTGTTTTGCTGTGTTGCCTGATCGTCGTTCTACTTGGATTGCTGTGAGACTTGCAACTGTTAGCAAACTCCATTTACTGAACTCTGTTTATGATACTTGACTTCATTTTTGGATTATCCCTGGACTGATACTAACTGCTTTAACTGTGTATTATTTGGACTGCTTTAACCGTGTATTGTTGGACTTTGTTTATCCATTTACTGGAAGTAAAACCTACATTTTACTATTCAGTGTATCTGTATGCTGGTTGTGTGTTATTCAACATCACTCTCACTACGTTTCCCTGAGTGCACTCATGCTCCTAACGGGGAATACCTCAACAGCACTTCAAAAGCCAAGGACAGTCATAGCACAGTAGTTGCACCCACTTGGTTTGGGAAATTAGTTACCTGCCCAGAATATTAAAAAAGGGCAATACTCAAGCACTGTTAATAAAACTAAGGGCAGGGCTTAAGGTAAGAAAGGCAGTTGGATACCGAGAGAGCAGCTGATGAGAGAGTGTGAATTCAGATATTAATAAAAAGTAGTATGGATAACAGGCTAAGGATGAGCTGAAAATTCAAACACACCCAGCAAAAAAAATCAAATTAATCTGCCAATCTAGTCTCCTGCCTTTACTCTAGCCACATGTTAATAAAGTACAAATGATGAAAATCATGAAAATGCAGATAACCTAAGAAGGCTGCACTGTAGCAGTAAAATATTGCCACCTGTGTGCATGGATACAGAAGAGAGAAGTGCATTGTTGAACAAACACAAGCAATTTTTCTCTCTGATCAGCCCATCCAAGTGATTATTCAGTTTTCTTTTCCTCTCTGTTGTACTGCTAGTCAACATCTGACTGTGCCAAAACAGCATCATGACCTGCCAAGAGACAGCCTTTTCCCCTGACCAAATGCTCAAGAGCAGTAGCTTTCTCTCAAGAGCCCCAGATGACACTATCTTAGCTGTTTTTAAAGTCCTGATTAACATCATTTTCACCAATGTTCTTACAACGTTATTATTCCAGTCACATATCAAATCATCAAGATGAGGACACAACATTAATTAACAATCTCACATAAGGAAGAGAGAAGCAGGCTGAGGGCAGGGGAAGATGGGGGAAAAAGATGCCCAATTGTTTAAATTCTATCTACTAGGTCTCTAGCAACACATGTCATGCAGTCATTGGGTAACTTGGTCAGGGATGCCTGACATTGGTGCCAAAGCAGCTCAATGTCCTAGGAGAGCCAAATTAAATGCCTTTCCAGATCCTCTCTTATCCAAAATTGATCAACCTCTACAACCCCTGTGGCTAGCTGCCTCTCTCTGTGGTCCAAGCAAAAAAAAAAAAAAAGCTTCCAAAGGATCATCCTCAGGCAAGCATCCTATGCAGGACAGGATAAAAAAAGTACGGCTCTTACTGTTGCCTACATATGGCTTCCTAGCTAGCCTGGAAGGAGGAGCTGACTTTAGTTCAACTCTTTTTACTACTCACATCTGCTAATGGGGTCTTTCTTACCATCTGGGAATGAAAGTTCAGGGTGGATGCAGAAATCCAACTGTGAGAGACGCTCCATCAAAGGGACTTCATACTGGATTTCTGGAGGCAATGAACTTCGCATAACACAGACAGCACACAAAGGGTTCACATCGCACCCACACTGCCACATGTTGCTACGATGAACCTAGACATAAGATGAAAAAGGGAGAAGGGCTAGAATCCATCAATCTAGAAGACGTCATCAATTTGTACTTTTTTTCAATCTGAGGACCTACTCATCAATCACCTGCCATTTTCATTCTGCAGAGTTACTCCAGGTTTCACAACATGGGATATTAGGATGGCCAGAGACCAATGGTTTGCTTTGAGGTGCTCTTGACTGCCCAGAACATAAAGGGAAAGACATGCTTTATTGCAACTGCTTGGTAAGGAAGGAAACCTCAGAGTGGCACTGGGCAGCTAGGAAAGGATTGGGAGTGATCCAGGGAAATTTGAAGTTGACTTGATTGTTGACTCAATGTGATGGAAAGAGGAAGTACAGTATATGACTGGGGTTATTGAACTTGGTGAAACTATAACAAAGCATTTAAAGAGCCTTCAATATGATCTGATGGCAGTGGAAAGGGAACAGGATGGGTGAGAGACTGACTCTGAATCTACAAATGTAAAGAAGGGTTGAACTTTCCCTGGCGTTTGGGCAAACTACTTGTACTTTGGCTTTTGCAGTTGCCTCCCTCATTGCAGATTTCATCCAGGACTAGGAAACTACTATTTACATCTAATAACAGAATATTTGCTATTCACAAGTTCCAAAGTATCCACTGAAACATGATTATGCATCATTGGTCCTTCACCCTACTAATGTTCCAGTTTTAAAAAAAGAAACAAGAAAACAAACCCTTTCCAATATCCATGTTGATACAATAGTCCCAAATTAAGATATTTAAATGCACATGTTCTTGGAAAAAAGTGTATTCACTTTTTCTGATTCAGAGAGTGAGCACTGCAACACTTGATCTTCAATACTGATGTAGTTAGAATAATTATCTAAAAATCTGGTTACTTTGGTTGTACACTGTGTGTACTGTGTTTTCTGTTTATGCATAGAAACTTAAATTTGTTGACTGACAATACAGCATTTGCCCTAAGCTGTTAGCCTGCCAGACTGTTCCAATGAAACAGATTAGCCTGGCTGAAAATGCATAGTTCCTTAAATACTTACTATAGATTGGCTATTTTTAAATTGCGGTGGGGGGAGACAAAGAACAAAAAAGATGTTAAGGTAATGAAGATTTAATAGCTGACCAGCTGCTGTAAGGCTATAAGCCAAGATGATGAATTGAGGATGAGTCAGCAGGGTACTCTGCTTTAAGAAGCTGTCTATATAAGGGAGGCCGTGTGAGGGCATTTCTCTCTCCTCCTGGTCTATCTCCATTGTAGTTCTCCATGTAGAGTTAAAGATTGATTGATTGCCTGGTATTTGCCTAACACATGTACGTATATAGTAGTCTTTTATATAAACCACTGTAAAAAAGACAAAGCCTCTGTGTCCTGTTTTGCTCCTGGGTTGTCTCACAATAGTAGTCACGCTGTAAACACTCTGACAAAAGTTTTTTTAAAAAAACAGATACTAATGATTATTCTATCCTGCAACTGAGCTCAAACACAAAACTCAGAACTGATTCTGAATTCAGCATACTGAGAATCGTAGCCATTTAAACATTTTGGAAATTTAAAAGTGCCCACATTCAAAAGCACACAGGTAAATCACTAACATGGCTACCTAATAGAAACCATTATTTCTTTTTAAAAAATAGAAGAGTCAACTACTTAAAAATGATTTGATATATATTTATATATATATTTAATTTTGGAATGTTGGTTTTCTTTTTCTCTACTCTTCTTTGCCAACATCTAGAAACAAGTAAAGTAATAACTAGCAGTCAGCACGGGTTTGTTAAGAACAGATCATGCCAAACCAATCTTATTTCATTCTTCAACATAGTAACTAAATTAGTAGACCAGCAAAATACTGTGGACATAATATATTTAGATTTCAGCAAGGCATTCGACAAAGTAGACCACAACCTACTTCTTAGTAAGCTAGAAAAAAGTGGAATAGATACCACCACCACTAGATGGACTGATGAAACAAGAACATAAGAAATTGGAGAAGGATTTACAAAGATATCCACAGCACAAAAATATCAAAAATCAAATGGATATGGACTTCCGGTTTGGGTCTCTTCAGCTACAAACCGAAATCCGTGATCGTGCGCGGTTTTGATCTGTGCTTGCTGCTGGAGCGCCCCGATCGTTTGGATTCGGGGCTAAAGCCACCCTGTAGAGGTGGTGAATAGGGGGGAGATTGCTAGCCGAGTGGAGGGGAGCCGCATCTCTCCTCCTTGGCTGGTCTAAATTCCCTTCCCCGAAGGTGGTTGCAGCGGTGGTCTGAAATGGCCACCTCAAAGAAGAACCCAACTGGATAAGATTGTGCAGGAAGAAGACAAAGAGGAAAGCAGGACAGACCAGGCTAAACAACAGAGAACATCTGAGCAAGGTGCCCTGAATCTAAAAGTATCTAGAGGGATACTTCTGAAAGAAGATCTTTAAGCGGCGACAGAGAGAGAAAAGAAGGTTAAAAACCCTTTTTTAACCTTTATATTGACAATTACAAATGGTATGGAAAGAAATTTATATTAATCTATTTTGACACTAATAGGCAACCTTAAACTGAAATCTAAGTGTCAAAAGGAGAATAAAGATTTTTTCTTGGTCATTTTAAAGCCCTAAAAAGGAGAAGAGTGGAGGCAAAATGGTGGGACTTGGAATAATGGAAAAATGGAGTGCCACCTGGAAAAATAAAGAGGATTAACAGTGAAACTTTGAAAAGACTCCCGAGGATACATTGTAACTGAAATCTTATTAAAAGATACAGTAACCCACGGAAAGGAAAAGTAAAGGAAAGAAACAAGAAGGAACAGTCTGGGATCATTTGATGATTTAAAAAAAAAAGTTTTTGGCATTGGTTTTTCTTACTTAAAGTCAATCGGGTGGTTGTTCAAAAGTGTTCAAAATGCCATCACTCCTGGAGGAATTGAAGATGAGTCTTAAAAAAACAGAAAAAAGATGCAGAAAGGGGAAGAAGATCCTTTGGCTTTGTATTTGAATTTTTTGAAATGGAGATCCTGAACTATGAAAAGGAAAAGCTTCAAGAGCAAGAAGGAGGGCGGGACAAAGAAGAAGCCATTTTCAATGATCAAATAATGCAAATGTGGTAATAAGGGGAAAAAGGAGGAAAGGAGTTAAAAGTTTGAGATCAAAGGGAACAGCCAAAAAGAAAAATAATCTGAAAAAGAAGTATAACGTGAAAGATTTACAAGGTTCATACCAGTACTAGAATGATTTTGAATAACTATTTTGTTTATTAATGTATATATATATATAGTTTTTGCTATGTTTTTAGAATTTTTCTTTTTACATTTTCAAGGGGAAGTACCAAGCAGATTCTGAATGATGAGATCTACATGATATAAAATAGATATTAGAAATCTGAATGCTATAATTTTAGAATGCACAAATTCAATGTTTAATGAGATTTCATATGATAATAACAATAAGATTTAAAGGTGTTGCACTTTGATTGGCAATCATAGGGGGAATTTTGCTTCTTAAGAATGTTGGAACAGAACATATGAAATTGTAAACAAGACAGACGAAAGTATAAGTACTGTACAATGAATAAAAAGATACAGAAATTTAGGTAAAAGAAATACAATTGAATAAGAAGAAAATGAGATAACCATAAAAGAAAATTAAGAGAAGTAAAGGGAGAAATAGTGAGAAGTTGGAAAAAGAGTAATAAGATATGAAGTTGAATACATAAAATGAATATGCATATGAAATTGTGTCTGTATGAAAATGTGATAACCCGGAACCATGCTGTACTCAAATAAGATGTTTTATTTGTTTTGTTAAAACTCAGTAAAACTTTATGGGGAAAAAATCAAATGGATATAATTAAACACAAAATTGGACTAATGGAAAAACAAGAACTGGCACAAAAGATTAAAGGGGCTAAACAGAATTATTTTGAAAACACAAATAAACCAGGTAGATGGCTAGCATATAAACTGAAGAAAGAAAAAGAATCAAAAAGAATACCACAATTAAAAGATGAAAATGGCACATTATGTTATGAAAATGAAGAGAAGAAAAAATAGTACAGAGATACTATGAGAAACTATATGATCAAGAGGCAATATTAGAAAACAAAGTGCAGCAATATTTACAAGAAGCAGAATTACCGAGAATACCTGATGAAGTAAAGACCATGTTAGATGAGAAAATAACAATGATGGAACTGACAGAAGCAATAAATAGACAAAATACTGGGAAAACTCCCGAACCGGATGGGCTATCAGCAGAATTCTATAAGACAATACAGGAAGTAATCTCTACTACAATGTTGGAAGTATTGAATGAGGTTCTGACAAAAAATAAAGTACCTGTCATGGACAGAGGCATATGTTACACTTATACCAAAAGAAGATACTGACCCACAACAAATAAAAAATTATAGACCAATATCTCTGCTAAATGCCGATGATAAAATATTTGCTTCAATAATGGCAGAAAGATTAAAAAGATATTTAAATCATTTTCTACACTCAGATCAAAATAGATTTCTACCCAAGAGAAATAAAAAATAATATGAGGATAATGTTGAATACTCTGGAATACTATGAAACCCACTCAGAGAAACAAATGGCATTAGTGTTTTTAGATGCACAGAAAGCGTTTGATAATGTGAATTGGCAATTTATGTTGATGCAGTTGGAGGAGATGGGTTTTGGAGATAGGTTTACTAAAGCACTATAGGCGATATATAACAAGCAAACAGCAAGAGTAATGATAAATGGAGAATTGACAGAAAACTTTAACATTCAAAAAGGAACCACACAAGGCTGTCTGTTATCCCCATTATTGTTTGTATTTATTAGGAATCTGTCCACCAATTAGTTGGGTTGGCAATATATAAACCAACAATGTATGTTTGTAGCTTTAAGACAAAGTTACTGTATTGATTTGTACTATGTTCCGATTGGTTGATTGTATTGTGAATTGCCATAAGGGGGAGCTAAAGATCATGGCTTGCTCTCTCTGACATTCTGTATCTCTGACATTCTGTTGCTATCTAAGGTTCTCTGCTGTGCTTATACTTTGATATCTTTGTTTACTGTAAATGAAAAAGGCAACCAGTAAGAAGAGTTTATAATTGGTTATTTTTTGGACTGTAAAACGTATATGACCTGGACCGTTTATTGGACTGTGCTATTTCTTAAAGTAAACTTTAACTCAATTTAGTGTAGCTGTGTGTGGCTGAATAATTATTCATAACTACTCTCATAAACGTTTCCATGTGCATATCCTTGTTACTCAAGGGTTATTCTGTACATATCATAACAGTATTGACTTTGGACGTTTTGAATAGAAACATTAGGAAAAATGAAGAAATAAAGGGAATGAAAATAAAAAAGGAAGAATATGAATTACAAGCTTTCGCAGATGATTTGGTTTTTATATTGGAAGAACCATTGGAAACAGGCCCTAAGTTGATTAGAGAAATAGAGGAGTTTGGCGAAGTAGCAGGATTGAAAATAAACAAAGAAAAAAAAATCTTAGCGAAAAACATGACAGAAAAACAAAAGTTCAATGGACAAATTAAATATGCAAATTACAAGAAAGTGAAATATTTAGGGATATAAATGACAGCTAGATGTGGAACACTTAAAGAAGATAATTACAAGAGATTACTACAACAGATTGCGATAGACTTGGAAAAATGGAAAAACTTACTATCTTTAATAGGTAGAATAGCGACAATTAAAATGAACATATTGCCAAAAATATTATACTTATTCCAGACGATTCCAATAAGATTGAAAAAAAAATACTTTGAAGACTTAAATAAAATGATGTTGAAATTCATTTGGCAGGGGAAAAAGACAAGAATCAAGATAAAACTACTGCAGGACGCAAGGGTGAGAGGGGTTTTTGGATTACCCAATTGAGAACTATACTATCAGGCAACAGTATTGATGTGGATGAAGGAATGGATTATATTGAAAAATGCCAGATTATTAACACTAGAAGGGCATGATTTACAATTGGGCTGGCATGCATTTTTATGGTATAAAGAAAGTAAGGTACATGGATATTTTAGGGATGCTTTATTAACAGTATGGGAAAAAATAAGGGATTATCACTATATGAAAATACCAGTCTGGTTATCAACATTAGAAGCTTTTACATATCCACAGCTTTTTAAAAAGGAACACATTATTAGATATGAAGAAATTTTAAATGAAAAGGGTGAACTCAGAACAAAGCAAGACTTAGAGTTACAAGGAATAAAAATGAATTGGTATTCGTATTTGCAAATACATACAAGGTATGAGAAAGACATTAAGATGGCTGGGTTTTACAAGGAATTGACTGAATTGGATAAAATCCTAACAGGCACTGAAGAGAAGTTGGTTAAAAAAATATATGGTTACTTACTAGGAGTGAAATTAGAGGAAGAACAAGTTAAAGAATCAATGATTGCATGGGGGAAAAGCTTTGGATATGGAATAGAATTGGATAAATGGCAGATACTATGGTCTAGAAACTATAAATTAACTATGTCAACAGCTTATAAAGAGAATTTGTATAAGATGTTTTACAGGTGGCACTTATAAGTATTGGACTAGAATACATATGTGGCTAGAGAAAATGATAAAATAATCTATATCTTTAAAACCAGAGACATTTTTATTGGGAATTTTGCCTAAGGGTTATAACAAAGAGTTAACCTACTTGATTATCAATCTATTAACAGCAGCCAGGATTGTATTTGCACAAAATTGGAAAAATGAGAAAATTCCGATGGATGAGGAAATAATTAAGAAAATAACGGAATGTGCAGAAATGAGTAGATTGACAATGGCAATTAGAGAACAAGAGGAAAAAGATTATTATAAAATTTGGAATTTATTTTATGAATGGCTAGATAGAAGAGTAAGAAATTGAAATAAGTAAGTACAGTATAATATCTATTACTGATAATTGGATGAGTTAGTAAGAAAATGAATGTGAAATATATTACTGAAAGTCAATAAATATAATGTTAAGGCTAATATAATAAGTGATATATGTGATATAAAATACTGATTAGAATGATTACAAACATATATAAGTAAAATATGTATGTGTACCCAACTGACACACTGATGAACAGAAAGGTTTTATTTGTTTGTTTTTGTTGTTGTTATAAAACTAAAAAAATATTTTAAAAATAATAGTCACGCTGTAAACACTCTTGACAAAAGATTTTTTTAAAAAACAGATACTAATGATTATTCTATCCTGCAATGAGCTCAAACACAAAATTCGGAACTGATTCTGAATTCAGCATACTGAGAATTGTAGCCATTTAAACATTTTGGAAATTTAAAAGTGCCCACATTCAAAGGCACACGGGTAAATCACTAACATAGCTACCTAATAGAAAGCATTTATTCTTTTTAAAAAATAGAAGAGTCAACTACTTAAAAACGATTTGATATATTTTCTGTTAAGTGTACCTGTACAACATCCCTTCCTGAGTTATTCTACATCAGACATGCTTTTTTCTTCTTTTAAGAATGCCACTGGTCCAGTGATCCAGCAATTAAACTTAAAAGAGTATTTAAAATTGTGACTCTTACCTCCCAAAACAGTATGCATAGTAGAAGAAATGAAACCACCTTCCTCTGCCCATTTCTACAGTCAAATGATCAAGATTTAAAATGTAGCTCTCTCCCAGTTTTTCCTAATGAATGCCAAGTTCATTTAACAGGGATAGACTAAAAAACTTCCACTGCCATAAGGACTGATAAATCCACTTTATTTAAATATCAGAGGGACTCTAAGCAGAATTTATGATATGGGGCAAAAGATCAATATGCAAGTCCAACAATTTGTTACTTAGCTATGTCATATAACTCAGCTGCAATATCTCTCCCCTCCCCACCTCAATTTTTTTCTACTGCCCTGACTTATCAATTTACAGACCTTTTTGGATAGTGGAACCAGACTATTGGGTTGAACAAGCCGCCGTTTCTTGCAGCTGAGGACAGGGCGCATGCGGGCTGCCACACAGGTTCCATCAGGAGTTGAAGATACCACATTTAATCTCTGCTTTTTCCGCAACAGCTCCTCAGCATCTGAGCCATCTCCCTGACTATGTTCTGTCAAGCTTGGCTGTAGACTGTCCAAGAGTGGAAATATAGCACATTAGCCATTTTTACTTCTCTATCACTAATGGGAGCCAAATTTTCATTACCTAAAAACAGCAACCCATTTGTCCAGGCAAACCAATAAATCCATGCATATAGTAAAATATACAAAACTAAGGTCAGTACCCTGTCTCCTGTGGATGATGGCTCCTCCACATCTTCTTCAAAGGCCTTGAGGGAGTATGAGAGCATTCCTGGCATATCCGGTAGTGCTGACCCTGATCTGCCAGCAGAACATGCCCCAGCTGGGGAGAGCTCACGGCCAATGAGGAAGAGGGGAAGGAGCTGCCGGCCTTGGTGGATGCTAGAGTTTGCAGGGCAGAGAGGTGGAGATCTGCCAGATTGATGGGGAAAAGGCCCTGCCCCTCTTAATGGGCTGCACCAGGAGGCACTATTTAGCACAGCAGGCAAAGGGAGGCATTTCTGGAAGCAACCTGTGTGGGTCATGGCCAGATGGTTGTTTGTGTTTCCAGAACTCTGCAGCTCGTGGATTTAATTCTGTTGCAGAGAGTGTGTTTGGAGCAGCTGGTTATCTGTCGGGTGGTCTAATTGGCCATTGCCTGGAAGGTTAGTCTGAAGCTTGTTCATGGTTGGCTTCGCTGAAAACGACCCCCTGAACTCCTGGCTTGGACAATTCCTGTGACTTCTCCTTGCAAGCCCTGAAACCGGACCACTGGACTTGTTGACAAACCTCAGTGGAGGCCCCAGACTTCGGAGGAGATTTGGGCTGTTTATGTTTGGAACCTACCCAAAGCAAAAACCTTTATTTCCAAGACTGTTTTAGGTTTGGCTGTAAGTTTGTTTTGCTTTTGGTTATCTATTTGGTCACAAGCCAATTACTGTGCTAAGCTTGCAGCTGGGGGTTAACTGGAACCCTGAAATAGAACTGTTGGGGGAACAGACTAAATAAAGCTCTCTACACCAACTCTGACATGTGGGTGAGTGGGGGCAGCACCGGTATATAGCTTCCAGAGCCAGCTTCCTCATTCATGCTGGGAGTTATATTCTAATACATTTAGAGAACATCAGGTTGAGGAAAACCCTTTGACTCACTTCTACTTAGAACTTTTCACACTTCCTGTTTATTTATTTACTAGCTCTATACCCATGCTTCGCTACGAAACTATGTGATCGGGCTTAGTTTTGGGGGAGGAAAATAAGGGGAAAAATTGTGCCTCTGCCTACCAGCATCCATTGGTATTCATCTGGCTAGCGTCCTGTCAGTGTGTGAGAGAGTTGAGGGCTCTTTGGAAACTGAAACAGTATTTGCTGTGTGAGCAAGGAGACAGCAAGGAGCCTGGGTGTGGCTTAGTCAACTGTTCTGTACTAAAGCTGGTTGCTGCTGTGAAACTAAAACTGAAACTCCTCTGCTTGTGTTTTGCATTTGGAACAGATTTCTTTTAAGGTGGGGAGGGAAAGTAGAACTCCTTAGCATCAGTGTGTGTTAATAATAATATATGAAATACTAATGCTCTGATGGTCATTTCAAATAATCCTTTCTTAGTGAGCACCTACAAGCCAAAAGGAACATACATGCCAAATTTCAAGTTTGTAGGCTTTATGGTTCTGGAGATTTTGTGATGCATGAGTGGTATTTCACTTTTATATACACTGTATATAGATAAGACTTTTAAAAAATAATTTTGCAAAAGCCTACATTAAGTCTGACAAAAGCATGTGGGAAAATGTGTTATGGTCTGATGAGACCAAGGTTGAACTTTTTGGCCATAATTCCAAAAAGTTTGGTGCAAAAACAACACTCCGCATCATTAAAAGTACACCATTCCCAAAGTGAAGCATGGTGGTAGAAGCAGCCTTATGCTTTGGGGCTGCTTTTCATCAGCTGGAACTGGGGCTTTAGTCAAGGTGGAGGGAATTATGAACAGTACAAAATATCAGTCAATGTGGGCACAAAACCTTCAGGTCTCTGCTAAAATGCTGCAGATGAAGAGGAATTTCACCCTTCAACACAACTGCCCAAAGCATTCCTCCCAATCAACAGAAGACTGGCTTCACCAGATTATAAAAATTTTGGAATGGCCCAGCCAGAGTCTGAACCTAATTCCAATTGAAAATTGGGTGACCCCAAGAGGGCTGTGCACAAGAGATGCCCTTGCAATCTAACAGATTTGGTGCGCTTTTGCAAGGAAGAGTGGGCAAAGATTCACAAGGCAAGATGTTGATAGGCTCCTACTCCAGAAGACTGAATGCTGTCATAAAATCAAAGAGTGCTTCAACAAAGTATTTGTTTAAGGGTGTGCACACTTATGCAACCACATTATTGTACATTTTATTGATATTTATTCTAAAAGATTTCAGTTTATTTTAATTGAACTGTACAGCTAGTATATATTAAAGGTGCAAAGAATTCTGAAGTGATTTATCTTGTACTGATTGTTTTAACATCTCAAAAACCTGGCATTTTAACATTGGTGTGTAGACTTTCTATACGCAATGTACCCTCAAGAGTGGCCTTTCAGAAGTTCTTAAGGAAACGTTTAGCAAGAACCTTACGTGTTGATGACTCCATTGAATGGTCTTGGCACTCTATAGGTTTTAGCAGGTACAGACTCTTGGGTATTCCTAATGGATATACAAAGTTTCTCTGATGGCTGGGAGATGTAATTGCCCTGTACAAGAAATGGAAAAGGTGGGGGGGGAATTCTTGTTAAAATTATACAAATCTATGGTAAATGGCTTTTCTTTAACATGGCAAACTCTAACAATCATCTGTGGCATTTGTGAATCACAGTATTTGAGAATATAAACTGTGTGATAACTGTTATACTGCTACTCAGCAACAAATAGTACAACAGGCTGGAACATGGAGCGATCATTTCAAAGATCCATCAAGTCAGAGACAAACAGCATTTTCTGCATCTTCACAGACTAACAGTTTTCCCAACCTGGAACTACTTCAATAATGAGCAGGCCAGTCTCTTTTTAAAGTTTGATTATCCTTCATTTTCATATGGAATGGCAGTTTCCATTAGTGGAGAACTCTTCCTGAAGAAAACCTTCAAATGTTCAAGTGCACACAGTAATACCCAAGCAACACAAACATACCTTGTACATTTCCAAAATAGCCTACTAAACTTGATACTGAGGCTCTATATTCAGAATAGCAGAATAAGAGTTGGAAAAGACCTTGGAGGTCTTCTAGTCCAACCCCCTGCTCAGGCAAGAAACCCTATACCATTTCAGACAAATAGTTGTTCAATGTCTTCTTAAAAACTTCCAGTGTTGGAGCATCCACAACTTCTGGAGGCAAGCTGTTCCACTGATCAATTGTTCAAACTGTCAGGAAATTTCTCTTTAGTTCTAGGTTGCTTCTCTCCTTGATTAGTTTCCATCCATTGCTTCTTGTCCTGCCCTCAGGTGCTCTGGAGAATAGGTTGACTTAGTCTTCTTTGTGGCAACCCCTTAGATATTGGAACACTGCTACCATGTCACCCCAGTCCTTCTTTTCATTAAACTAGACATACCCAATTCCAGTAACTGCTCTTTATATGGTTTAGCCTCCAGTCCCCTAATCATCTTCATTGTTCTTCTCTGCACACTTTCTAGAGCAGGGCTGTCAAACTCCCGACCCATGGGCCAGATGTATCACATGCTGGCCACACCCATGCCCAGTTTAGGGAAGGGGAAAAAAGTCCCGATATGTCATATGATGACAACATGAGTTTGACACCCGTTCGTGAGTCTCAACATCTTTTTTACATGCTCTCTGTTTAAAGTTACACACCTACTGAAAACTTAAAGTTTAGTGTTTCATAATTAACTTTTTCTAAAATCAAGCTTCTAACCCTTATACCTGTAAAGAAAGTTTGACAATTATACCTTTCTCAATCATATTAAAAAGGCTATCTGAAATAAAGCAAAGATTTACACATTTCTTATTCACAGTGTTATAGCTTACCTTTAACTCTATGTTACTATTACAAGTCTGTGACAAGGTCATTTGTAAACTCAAAATGAATATACTGAGGGAAGGCCAGGGTTTTAAAGAAGGTTTTTAGCCCTCCCCCAAAGAGCATTTTTAAAGGAGAGTTTACATGGACTAAAGAAAAGAGTGGTCGTATTAGTTTTTGCACATAACAAAGAATTGAGTGAGATTTCAAAGATGAATGCAAGTAATCACAAGCTTTTACAAATTACAGTCTGCTTTAACATATGAAGAAAAATGTAAGAACCTGGATAGACCAAAATTGTACATTTATGGACTAAGAGGAAAAACATGAACATGAATAGAAATACAAAATGCATGTCAGCTGGTTATAAGTTTTAAAAGTTTTTACAAAAACAAATCCAGGGCATCTTAAGATGGGAAAAAAACCTTAAAAATGTTTTCTGGGGAGCAGAAAAGCAATCACACGCAATCTAGCAACCTAGTCCCCTATGAAGTAGATCTGCTGTTATTTTATGCACAGTATCATGTTATACCGGGTCAATACTATTTACATGCTTTGCAAATGTAAGGCGCAAAAACAAAATTTAAAATTCCTTGAGAGACCTTTATCTTTTATGGCAATATTGCCAGCAATGAATCAAATTATGGGGCCAAAGATAAAAGGAATGAGGGTGGAGAAATAATTTTAAGCAAAGCAATCTTGCCCACTGCACAGTTTTGATAAACTGCAGGCAAGGGGAACAGACAATTGGCAAGCCTTTTCCTTTATACCCTGTAATATCAAAGCTGATGTCTCAAGATGTTTCAAATATAGACTCAAGGGCATCACTGTATGATTCATGAAGTGATAGTTCATCCTGCTCTACTACCAAATACAAGTTTACAGTCTCCCCTGTGTATATTCTGCATCTGTAGTATTTATAATTCAAATGGCAATTAACATGCAACAATTTTTGATCAGAGGCATGAAAAATTAGCAATGTTAGATTTGCCCAGTCTGTTCTAAACAAAAGGTCTTAGAAGAGAGGGTGGTTTTTTATATACATTCAAGTTACATACCCAGGTAAAACTAAGAAAACTTTTATCCAAAATTCTAGAAACAAGGGTCTTCAAACTTGGCAAGTTTAAGACTTGTGGACTTCAACTCCCAAAATTCCTGAGCTAACATGACCGGAGAAGGAATTCTGGGAGTTGAAGTCCACAAGTCCTAAACTTGCCAAGTTTGAAGACCCCTGGTTTAGAAAGCCACTGCCTGTCACTATAGATCAGGTGTGTCAAACTCACATTGTCATGGTGGCATCACGTGACATATTAGGACTTTTCCCTGCTTTGCTGAACCAGGCATGGGTATGGCCAGCATGTGACGCATCCAGCCCATGGGTCAGGAGTTTGACAGCCCTGCTGTAGATGGTTTTGATCAAATGGAACAACTCAACTAGTGAAGCAGCTTTCTGCTTCCTATGACAGTTGTTCACACACACAGTTTAACTTGATTGCAATAAAAACCTGCCTAAATCAGATGCCACCCGAAAGTCTCTTTGGGTAAACAATTGTGAAGCTTTATAGAATCAGGCCAATGGACAATTGCTGATTACCTTTATCTGACACTTACTTGCTTATTTTAGTCAGTATGTTAATATTTATTTACTGTTCATGGTTTCAAGTAAATGGGTGTTGGTCCTTACCTGATACGCCCCTTCTCGGCGAGCCGCGTGGAGCATCCAGAGAGTGAGAGGTGCTTCAGAGTCCTCTCTCACAGGCTGAGCTTCAATTGAGGAACGCTCCTCCCCCTCACGTGGCTCCGTGCAGCGTTCCCCAGTTTTTACGAGGACGAAAAGGAAAGGCTATGTACTCGTCCTATCAAACTAGTGGATCCTTGGCTGAAACAAGTTCCCCCACCAGACGGAGAAATAGGGTGGGGCTGGATGCTCCTTGCGGCTCGCCGAGAAGGGGCGTATCAGGTAAGGACCAACGCCCATTCTCCCTCGAGCCGCTCGGAGCATCCAGAGAGTGGGACATACCAAAGCTTGGCAGTCCTACGGGAGGGACTCTCACTGATGCCCCTCTGTAGGACTCGTCGGCCAAACGAGGCCTCCGCTGAGGCATATACGTCTATTTTGTAATGCCTGATGAAGGGAGACGGGGAAGCCCAGGTGGCTGCCCGGCATATGTCAGCGATTGGGGCTTGTGTGGCCCAGGCTGCTGAAGTAGCTGCACTCCTAGTGGAATGAGCGGTGATTCCACTGGGTGCGGGGAGGGATTGTGATTGGTAGCATTTGGAGATAGTTGCCCTAATCCAGCGGCTGATGGTTGAGGGGGATACTTTGAGCCCCAATGACCTGGGCTGAAAGGAAAGGAAAAGGGATTCCGACCTTCTCAGGGGTTGGGTGCGCTTGATGTAGATGCGCAAGGCCCGTCTCACATCTAGAGTGTGCCAAAGAAATTCCCTGTCCCTCGAGGGTCTGGGGCAAAAGTTTGGTAAGACCAATTCCTGCGACCTGTGGAAGGATGAGTTGACCTTAGGCAGGAAGGTGGGGTCAGGACGAAGAACCACCCGGTCGGCGTGGAACACACAGAGGTCCTTTCTAACCGATAAGGCGGCGATTTCTGAAATTCGCCGTGCTGATGTAATGGCCATCAGAAAAACTATCTTAAACGTTAAAAATTGAAGGGAGGACTCCCTAAGAGGCTCAAACGGGTGTTTTGTGAGCGAAACAAGGACCTTATTGAGGTCCCAGGTAGGGTATCTGTGAACAGTTGGGGGGCACAGGTTGGTGGCACCTCTGAGGAAGGCCCTGACCCTAGAGTGATGGGAGAGGGAGCTGAAGCTGTCGCAGGAGACAACAGTTGACAGGGCTGCGACTTGTCACCTCAGGGTGTTAGGGGAAAGCCCCTTGAGCAGGCGCTGTTGGAGGAATTCTAGGACCTGGGCAATAGAGGGGGAGAGGGGGTTAACCTGGGACTTATGACACCACCTGCAGAAGCCATTCCAAGTGGCATCATAAATCCGTGTGGTTGAGGGCCGCCTGGCGGCCAGGATGGTGTCAATTACCTGACTGGAGAATTTCTCTTTTTTTAAACGGTTCCGTTCAACCTCCAGACAGCTAACTGGAGCCATTGAGGGTCCGGATGCATAAGGGGCCCCTGGGAGAGGGAAATTCTGTTCGGGGGGATTCTCCAAGGGGGCGCTACTGATAGGTTGCGGAGGTCCGCAAACCAAGGGCGCCTGGGCCAATAGGGGGCCACCAGCAGCAGATCCGCCTTCTCGAGGATGAGCTTCCGGATCACTCGGGGCACTAGGGTTAGGGGGGGAAGGCGTACAGAAGCCCTGGAGGCCAGGGGCAGCGTAGCGCATTGTGGTTCTCCGACCCGTGGGACGGGTATCTCGAGAAAAACCTGGGAAGTTGTGTGTTGGCTGGGGATGCAAAAAGGTCCACCATTGGTGGGCCGAAGATCCTGGATGCCTCCCTGAACAGGGATGGGTGGAGGCGCCATTCTGACTGGTCCACCGTGGCCCTGCTCAGCCAATCCGCCTGGATGTTGGAAACTCTGGAGATATGATCTGCCCTCAGCGAGAGGAGGTTGGACTCTGCCCAACGACAGAGATGCTCGGCCTCCCTCATCAATTGAATAGACTGGGTACCCCCTTGCCTGTTGATGTGCGCTTTGGCCGTGACGTTGTCCGTGAGAATGAGGACATGACATCCGTGCACCTGAGGGAGGAAGCTGCGCAGGGCTAGATGGACAGCATGAAGCTCCAGCCAGTTGATGTTGCGTCCTTGTTCTGTCCTTGACCATCTGCCCTGAGCCGTGAGCGAGTTGATGTGAGTGCCCCATCCGGATAAGCTGGCGTCTGTGGTAAGGGTAAGCCTCTGGGGCTCCTTGAAGAGCTGGCCCTTGTTGATGGCGGGGTTGATCCACCAGAGGAGGGACGTGAGGACCTGTGGAGGTACCTTGACCCTGGATTTCAAATTGCTTCTTCCGGATCTTTGGAATGGGAGCAGGAACCACTGCAGGGATCTGCTGTGTAAACGGGCCCAGGGAACAATGGAAATGCATGAGACCATCTTACCTAGCAGTTTGGAGAGGTCAAGTAAAGATACCCTTTTTGATCGCCTAATTTGTTTGACCAAACTTTGGATACTGAGGAACCTCTCTGGGGAGAGGAAGACCTTTTCTGAAACCGAATCGATTATGGCCCCCAGGTGAGTAATTCGGGTGGAGGGAGCCAGTTGGCTCTTTTTCCAGTTAATAAGGAACCCGTGGGCCTGAAGAGCAGAGAGAGTAATCCTGGTGTCCCTCTCTGCCTGGTGTTTGGACGGGGAGTGGATGAGAATATCATCCAGATAGCAGTGGAGGCGTATGGGAAGGCTTCTGAGGTGGGCTGCTAGAGCCACGAGGACCTTAGTGAAGGTCCTCGGGGCCGAGGCCAGACCAAAAGGGAGGGCCACATATTGAAAGTGAAGGTTGTTATAACAAAATCTGAGGAATTTATGGTGGGAGGGCTGGATTGGGATATGTAGATATGCTTCGGAAAGGTCTATAGAGGATAGCCAGTCCCCTTGCCTGGTACCCAGGAGGATAGATTGCAAAGTGTGCATCTTGAATTTGCGCTGAATTAAATGACGGTTAAGTCATTTTAAATCTAAAATTGCTCTCCATCCCCCGGAATGCTTGGGAACCACGAAGAGGTGGGAGTAGAATCCCCGCCCTCGCTGGGCTGGGGGAACAGGTTGAATGGCCTGAATGTCAAGGAGATGCTGAATGGCGGCATCCATCAATTGGCGTTTGGTGGGGTGACTTGGAGGGGGGGGATGTCATGAAGAAGTCAGAGGGGGCGGACCGAAACTCAAGGGCGAGACTGAACCTGATGGTGTCTCTAACCCAAGCATCGGAGGTAGATGCATCCCATTGGGCGGCGAAGTGTCTGAGGCGGCCGCCAATGGGGAGGGAAGAACGTATTCTATCTGGGACGATGGAAGGGTCTTCCCCCTGATCCCCTAAAGGGTTTCCTATAGTTGCCGCCCCTTCTGCTTCTGTTGCCCGTGTCGGTTCGATCCTGAGGTTGGGATCGAAAGGAGGGGGGTCTCGGGTATCTGGGCGGGAAGGAGGGCTGATAGAAGGGACGGGGGGAGCCTCTCCGAAAGGGCTGAGGGCCTCTTGGTTCTGACCTCCGAAAGAGGGAGGGGAGAAACTTCTTCTTACTGCGGCCCTCAACCAGCAGGGGATCTAGAGCTGGGCCGAACAGTTTGTCTCCCTTAATGGGAGCGGTGGCCAGTTTAACTTTATTTTTAACGTCCGCCTGCCAGTGTTTGAGCCAGAGCAGGCGGCGGGCCGTGACATGTGAAGTTATAGCTCTAGAGGAAAACTTCACTGATTGGTAAGTGGCGTCAGCCGAGAATTCTGCTGCCGCCACGAGCTTGGCTATATCCTGATGTGCACGTGTGTTGGAGGAGGGGACGTGCTGCTTCAACTGACAAAGCCACCAGATTGAGGACCTGGTGAAAAAGGAGGCGGCCGTGGCCGATCTAATGGCCCAAGCATCAGATTGGTGGGCCCGGCGTAAGGCCAGTTCCACCGGTTTGTCTTCGGGTTTGAGCGCCTCCAATGCCTCACTGGGGGTGGAGGAGGACGCTAGGTCCACGATGGGCTGATCAACCTCGGGGATGCCTAGAAGACTAGAAAAGTCTGAGTCGAGATTGAAGAATCTCTTGTCCTGGTGGGAAGGCGCAGGGGGGGGGCCCCCGTGGAAGCTGCTTCATCACTAGGTCTGAAAAAATGGGTGGGGCCAGGATGACCTCAGCCTCCACCATGGGCTGCTTAAATATGGAGTCCTCTTGGCCTTCTGATGTGGAGGGGGGAGCAGAGGGAGACTGGGAAAGTAGGCCAGAAATGTTTTTGGCCTTAAACAGAAGGGACTTGAACATGTGGGGCTTGAACAACCCCACGAATGTAGGCTGGTCGGGGGTAAGCCCCTCATCTTCTGACATTTCCCCCTCGCTCAGTTCTGCCTCTAAGAGAGGCTCACTGAAATGGGAAGATCCCATTCGGGATTCCTCCTCCTCTTCCCTGAAATAAGGCCCCTTCCTCCTCCTCCTGGTCCCTATCCGGAGGAGGGCTATCCCTCTGTAAGAGTACCTGACCGATAGGAGGATCCGATCTTGGAAGGGATCTGATGGACAGAGACTCATGTTCGGGAGCCCTTGGGGAGAAGCCGGGTCTGGACATGTGTTGCAGACCCTCCGCAAAACCCTGGTGGATGGCCAGTTCCATCTATGCCTTGATGTGAGCTGGGACCTCCATAGTAGAAGGCTCCTCTTGGCACAGACCAGCAGCCGTAGGCGTAAAGGTGGCTTCAGGAGTCCGTCTGGTCGATGGTCCTGGGGCCTGAAGACCCTGAGGTGAGCTGCGCCTGGATTGGGAAGAGAGGTCTGGAGGGGGGGAGGTTGAGTAGAGGTGGAGGGAGTGGAAGGAGGAAGGGCTGGAAGCATCGAAAGTGACTCCCTGGATCACCTATCAAACTCCTTTTCCAACGCCTTATGGCGCCTTAAGGCATCCCGCTGGGAGGCCTTGGAAGGTTCCTTAGCCTGCCTGCGCAAGTGGTAAGACTTAGATTTAGCCTTCAGAGAAGGGCGTTTGGAGGAATTGTCATCTGCCATTTTGATAAGTGAAATTGGATAAGTATCACTAGAGGCGGTTGGCTCGCCTAGAGTTCGGCCTACGACCAAGGCCGGGTGATCTCTGAGCTGGCCCGCACCCCCTTTTGGAATTTAGAATATACTATTGCCAGGAGAAAGGTACTTAAGGTAGCAAAAAGGTATAAATATATACAAGGATTGTATTTGTTTTGGTTTTTTTGATATAAAAGTTTTTATCTGATATACTTTATGTTTTGATTATTAAAAGGAATTCTTTTTTTTTTAAATACAATAACGAGGTTGAAAAACTTGGACTGTATAGGATATCAACGAGGAAAAAAATAAAACTGGCTAGAGAAAATAAACCGAATTTGCCAAATGGACGCCTGAGGCCTGTATCAGAGAGGCCTAGCAGTAGACCTCCAGACGAAAACTGGAGGGGAGAGGAGACTGCTGACCTTCGCCCCGAGAGAGGCTGCGGGAAGCCAACAGACGTGCTTGACCAGAACGGTCAAAGGAGCACTAACAAAATTAGCTCGTGACCCAGGGGTCCGATAGGAGCTTTGATCAACCACAGCTTAGAGTAGAAGAAAAAAATGGCGCCCGACCATGAGGCGGCGCCAAGATGGCGGCCGCGAGCTGAGCTATTGTCGGGGCCCCTCGGGACGGAAGGGAGGGCTCCTCCGGCTAGCTCAGCATGCCTAGAGGGGCTGCGAGGAGGAGAAAACCTGAGTCAGCCAAGGAGCCTTAACTGCAAACAGCCTGTCTCTCCGAGGCTGAACAAAAACTGGGGAACGCTGCACGGAGCCACGTGAGGGGGCGGAGCGTTCCTCAATTGAAGCTCAGCCTGTGAGAGAGGACTCTGAAGCACCTCCCACTCTCTGGATGCTCCGAGCGGCTTGAGGGAGAACGTCTGTTACCAAAGTAACCATGACTAAACTTGGGACCTTTTATATGCCAAACAAATATAATCATTCATTTAAAAACTGTGAAGAGTAACTGCTAAGCATTCCTAAGATATGCCAAGTTATGGTTAGAAAACTCTCCACTACCTAGTCATCTATGAGTAAACCTTGGCTGCCAGAACCAAAGAATGTTATTTCAGCCCACAGACTGATCAAAAGCATCAGATGCCACTTGAATCAGAACCAGGCTGGGATTGGGTAACACCCAATTTGGAGTGCATTCATCTGTGCTCCTCCAGAAAAGCAGGTGAACAACTGAATCTCATCCCTCTCACAATCATTTACTACAGTTGCTATCAACCGTAGGTCTGGTGTTTTCCCTATTCAACCTCGTTTTAAATTAGTTTTGTCTGCTTTTCATAATCAGCTGCATTGCTGATATTTGTTTCACAATGTTTTGATTTTTTAAAAAATTAAAAAGTTGAAAGCCAGTACTAAATTTTGGCAGAATGTTTTAAAACTTTAAAAATTAAAATTAAATATTTTATTCTAGTGCTTCAGGAATTTTGAAACTGCGTCCCAACTTCTAATAAAGTATCAGTCTGTAGCCTGCAGTAATATACCATCCTGGAAAAATGTCTTTGTGGATGCCAATTTAGGTAATAAGGTGATTCTGGGAGCATCTGCAAGGCAGAATGCTATTCCCTAATGTATTAAACTGGGAATTCTCCAAATACTGGATCAAAAGAAAAAACAGCAACAGGACAATCTTTTCCCCCATACAACTATGAAATACATATATAGAAGTCTAGTCTAGAAACAAGGTAATCAGTAGAACAAAATACAATAATATAACATCAGCAGGGAAGGAGAGGAGTAATTAAAGAAATAGTACTCCAAAGAGTACTCTCTCCACTCTTAATACGTACCAGTCTGTCAATTCCAGGCTCCAGCTTGAAGTCAACACTAAGACTATGGGTTGAATCACCTAATACATGGTCAGAAGGAGGCATCTCACCTAGTAATACCAGTCCCTAAACAGGAAAAGGAAAAAGATAGTTGCATTTTGCCAGGCCAAATTCTCCTTCAGACTATGCCGAGAATAAAATTTACCATTACATTTCATTTATTATATTTTGTTTCTTTGTACCTATTGGCCCTTTTCTCCTGTAAGATTCTTCGTTAGTTTTTTTTCCTACTAGTTAGAAACTTTATCTTCACTATGCTGAATGACTTAAAATTCTTGCTCTGAAAAAGTCATTAAAGAAGAGATCCATTCTAGGATTAATCACATGGTAGAATGTATAGTTATAATATGGAGGACTGGAAAAGGAAAAATAAAATACTCTTATACATCAGATTGAAAGTGTTAAGAACAAAACCTTTTCTTTTTTGTTTGCCACAAGGCTGGGTCTCTAAGAAAGCTGATCTTGTATCAGGCTGGGTACCTCTTTCAGAAGCTGCAAAAAAACAGAAAAGTTGGGTGTTGTTGGGCCTTGGAGCAGGCTAAGTACTGCAAGTCATTGGGTGGGAAGGAAGCTGAAGGACTGCAGGGACCCTGAGGGGTGAGAAGTAGAACATGGGATGCCGCAGGCAGTAGGGATAGCCTTGCAAGACCTGGGACAGGTGACCTTCCCAGGGATTCCCCCGCCTGAGGCAACCTGTGCTCCATTTAATGACCCTTGTGTTCATTTAACAGCTACATCAGGGACAGCAGGGGGTGAGGTCATTAAGCAAGGCCATTTTGCATAACAGCCATCACAACATGCAACCATAATGGGCAGGCTGTATTACAGTTGTATCTCAAGGACTACCTGTACCAAATCCTTACTATATCATGTTTTGGGGCCCTGTTAATCACTTACAGTGTATGTGCGCATGTGTATGTACACAGAGAAAGAAACAATGTGCTGTAACAGCAAATCTTAAGTTGATGTACACTAAATACTAATACTACAAAACCTGAATATGAGACATTTTTACATCTCTCAAGTATTGATCTTGTAACACTCCTCAGGCATTCTAACAGAGAACAATCAAGCTACATGTTACATGGGAATTTCTCTTTTGTAAATCTAAAGTAGCTTCAAATGAAAGATTATATTCTGTATACATGATAACTAATCATAAACTGTATTTGATAGATTGAAGGTCTTTAGACAACTTTTGTATCAAGATCAAATACAAATTATCACAGAATACAAAACACAAAACTCTAGGACAATGGCTTTAAAATGGTTTTTGTCTCTTTATTTTTCCTTCCCCTCAGTGGTGGGATTCAAAATTTTTTTCTACTGGTTTTGTGGGCATGGCTTGGAGGGCGTGGCAAGGGAAGGATACTGTAAAATCTCCAGTCAGAGGTGGTATTTGCTGGTTCTCCAAACTACTCAAAATTTCCGCTACCGGTTCTCCAGAACTGGTCAGAACCTGCTGAATAGCACCTCTGCTTCCCCTGCTCCAAAAGCCTTCAAGTTACAGAGGACTCTGTCAAGCACCAGGGAAATCAGGATATCCAGGAACTCCAAATGAATATAAAGGTTTATTGCAAGCTTAAGCTCTCTACAAAAATCTGAAGTACTCATGGACAAAGCAAACTGGTGGTAGATAATTATCAATGGAAATCAAGAACTTAGATCTCTTGTGGGAGAATGGAGGAGCTTGCGCCGTGACGATACGGTCTGCAATCGAGCTCCTCGATTGCAGCCGATATCTCCGTTACCGGCCGGTCCAAACGGACCTATGCTGTCCTGTAGGGACAGCTATCGTGAAGAGCGTACCCTGAGGACTCCGGGGATATCGCAAAATCCCTGGAAGACCCGGGTGAAGCTCTCTTTGCTGGCGGCGGAGAGGCAGCCCCCATGCTGCTGAAGTCGGGGCGGCTCCAGAAAGAACGGGTCTGAGAGACAGTCTGTCGGTTGGGTGAGAAACTTTTTTTTTTATTTAATTTTTTGAGTCTTGAAAGTCCACTCTGATTATTAGAAGAAATCTGTGTGATTTTTTTTTTCTTTTGACAAAACTGACTAAGCGGCGTTTTTTTAAGGGAGACGTCAAAGAGAGAATTTATTTGCTTTTTTTTTTTCTTTGCTTCCGGACTTCATTGTTATTTACTGGATAACTGGACTGTTCCTTTTTATATTTATATGTTTTATTCTTCCTTTGGATTTTTCATTTTTAGGCTAGAGGCTCCCTTTGTTTATTTTTTTATTCTTTTTTGCTTTTATATGTTTGTGTATTCCTTGCCGGCTTTTCTTTTTTTTTATGCTGTTCAGAGAGGAGGGGGGAAAGTGAGAACTAAGAAACTTTGTAACACTGCCAAATAGAGGCTTGGAAACATTTTACTTGAACTGGAAAAAGACGAAGTACTTCTTCTCAAGGACATCTTCTGATAAGATAGAGGAAGGCACTTTGTAGAATATTATTACAGGTGTCTTTCTGGATATTTATGGCTTAGCTTTGAAGCTTGTGGGAAAGAGAAGGGAGTCATAATTAGAGCCTTGGACAATTAAATAGAGTGCAGTGTATTGCTGCTTACTTTCTTTTTCTAATTCTTTTTTTTTTGTTCCGCCACCCCCTCCACCAGCATCAAGGTCTTTATTTTTAAGTTTGATTTATTTGCAAAGGGAAGCCTCTGAATTTTTTTTATTTTTATTTTATTTTGATTTATTTTACTTTATTTTTTCTCCTTTCTATTTGGATTCTGCTTTTCTTTTTAATGTATATCAATGGACTATTTCTTTTTTCTTTTTTCAATTGAGATTTTTTTTTTTTTTGGCTGGATTAAGGTGTGGAATTTGAAGAAATTTATTCTTCTTGTTTTTTGTTTTGTTTTTTCTCTCTTTTTCTCTTTTCCTTCTTTTTGGCTTTGGCCTTGTTTATTATTATTATTACTGGGTTTTTATTCTTATTTTTACTCTCTTTTGTGGATTATTTTTTTTAATTGGATTAAGGTCAGGAAGAATTTGAAGAATTTTTTCTTTTTTTCTCTTTTTTTGCTCTTTTCCTTTTTCTTTTTCATGTTTTTCTTCTTTTTCTCTCATTATTGATTCTTTTTTATTATTGGCCTTTTCATCTTGGATTATAATTGGCTACCCTTTTTTGGATTAAAATTTGAAAGAACTTGAAGAGCTGGAACCATTTAAAATGAGTAAGAAACTTATATCTTCGGGTGCCTCTATGTCTACTTCTGCCTCCCCACCATCTGGACAGCGTTCAATTCAGACAATGTTAAAGCAAGATAAAGAAAAAGAACAAGAAAGAGTATCTTTTCAGATGATTATGCAAGGAATTCAAGATCTTAAGGTAAAAATAGATACCATTGAACAAAGAACAGGGAGGACGGAGGAAAAAGTGGAAAGTATTCAACAGATGATGGCAAAATATGAGGAGAGACTTCAAAAAGTCGAAGAGGGGGGCAAACGAAGAGAGGAGAAGATTGGAAATATTGATAATAGACTAACAGTGATTGAACAAGAAAAAAGTGGGATGTTGAAGTGGGAGTTGGATAGATCAGAATTCTATCTTAGATTTCAAAATATAGAAGAAGAAAAAGGACAAGATTTGGCTGCGATAGTGGTAGGAATCTTGGCGGATGCGTTGGAGATAACAGAAGAGAAGATGATGGATGGAATAGATGAGATATATCGAGTTTTTACAAGATATGCGATGAGAAATAATCTGCCCAGAGAAGTCCATATTAGATTTACTAAAAAATCCATGAAGTCACAAATATTACAAGTGGCAAGAGAGAAGATATTGAAATACAAAGGTAAAGAAATTTTGGTTTTAAAACAAATACCTAGAAGAGTGAGAGAGATGAGAAGAGAAGAGAATATCGATTCCTGACCAAAATGTTATTGAAAAAGGAGGTGACTTACAGATGGCTGATCCCAGAAGGTTTGATGTTTACGTGGCAGGAACAGAGACATAGAATTGATTCAATTGAGAAAGCAGAACTGTTCTATGCAGAAGTTTTTGGAGGGAGAGAAGGAGAGGCAGAAAAGGAGGTTCCATTAACTGAATCCCAAGAGGAACAAATGGAGATTGGAAAAGAAGAAGGTGCAGTAGGTGGACAAGTGGATATTAAAGATCAGCGTGAATCAAGACCCACGAGAGTGGTTAAATCTAAATATAAAATATAATCATGGAAGAGAAAAAACTGATTACAATGAATATAAATGGACTGAATTCAGCTGCTAAGAGAAGGAAGATTTTCCATAAATTAAGGAAACTAAAGTTTGATATAATTTGTCTACAAGAAGTACATATTAAAAAGCAACATGAACAATTGTTATTACAACCAAAATTAGGGAAATTGTTTACCTCTTTGACTCAATGTAAGAAAAGAGGGGTGGTCTTATATATTAAAGAGGCTATCCCAGCAAAAATGATTTATACAGATGAAGATGGGAGAATATTAATGGTGGAAATAATGGACAATAATAGAAAGATACTTTTGACTGCAATTTATGCCCCGAATGATAAACAGGAAGAATTCTATAAAAAATTACATACCAAGATGGCTGGACTGGACTATGCTAATATAATTATGATGGGAGACTTTAATGGAATTGTGGATAATAAACTTGATTATATTGCAACAGCAGCAAAGCATAATAGAAAAACTCTTCCTAAATCTTTTTTTAAAATGATAGATGAATTAACTTTAAAAGACATATGGAGAGAAAAAAATATTAAACTTAAGCAATATACGTTCTATTCAAATAGACATTTATCATGGTCCAGACTTGACATGATTTGGATCTCAACAGACTTAATATCTAGTATTCAAGAAGTAAATATTGAAACAAGTACTTGGGCTGATCATAACCCATTGACAATTAAATGGAAGGGACAAAAAAAAAGATCGAGATGGACATTAAACAATACTATTTTAAAGGAGAAAGAATTTATACAATGGATGGAGAAAGAATTGGCTTTTTTTTTTAAAGAGAATAGAAAAGAAGACACTTCAATACAGAATGTTTGGGATACAATGAAGGCTTATGCTAGAGGCTTGATAATAGACTATACAAGA